CTTCCAAATCCTCAACCACCACCTTCTGCAAGGGCAAAGGCAGCAAATACATGGAATACTACCACCTGCGAGTGTCCCTTCAAACCACTCACAATCCTGACTTGGAAAACATTTCGTCATTCCTTCAGTATTGCTGGGCCAAAATCCTGGAACTCCCTCTCCCCAGTGTCATTGTGGGTCTACCTCCAGCACATGGACTGTAGTGGTTCAAGGAGGCATCTCACCACCACCTTCTCAAGGGCAATTAGGATAGGCAATAAATTCTGGCTCAGTCAGCAACTCCACATCCCATAAATGGATTTTAAAAAAATGCTAGTGGAAGAACCCCAAGAAATCTTGCACCTTGGAGAGCAGTGGAAAACTAGAGAGGATCAAAGTTAATTCTTGACAGCTACAGCACATCTTGGTTTTGTCCCACAAAAGTAAAGACTCTTAAAATCCTATAAATTAAAGAACTTAAAGATCTTGAATCTTGTGGTACAGTAGCAGTGCCCCTATCTCTGCATTTGAGTTCAGGTCATCCTTGTCCTGAAGGTGTTTCATAACACATCGGAACAGGATGATTAAATTTAGAAGAGTAAGATCTTAAGAAACAAGGGGTGGCCTCTCAAGACAGTCCCACTATTCTATAATATCATTGCTAATCTGCTTTAATTCCTTTTTGTGTCAGTCCCTCATTGCCCTCAACTCCTTGATTTTTTAAACATCCATTTATCCCCTCTTTAAAAACAGTTTAGCCATTCTTGATAAGTAGACACCTTCATTGCAGGAATCAGTCTAGTGAACCTCTTTTGAACTGACTTCTTAGAATCTCTACAGTGTGGAAACAAGCCCTTCAGCCCAACAAGTCCACACTAACCCTCAGAGCATCCCACCCAGACCCATCCCCCTGTAACCCATCTAATCTACACATCCCTGAACACTATGGGCAATTTAGCATGGCCAATCCACCTAGCCTGCACATCTTTGAACTGTGGGAGGAAACAGGAGCACCCGGAGGAACCCACACAGATACGGGGAGAATGTGCAAACTCCACACAGACAGTCGCCCAAGGGTGGAATCGAACCCGGGTCCCTGGTGCTGTGAAGCAGCAGTGATAACCACTGAGCCACCGTGTCCCCCCCAAATGCAACTTCAATGCGAATATATCCTTTCTTAAACACAGGGTCCAAACTACTAACCAAAGTGCATGACCTCATATATTCCTCCACCGAACTCCATCTGTCAACTTCACTCACTATTTCCATATCCCCTTGCAGATTCCTATGCCGTCATCACTATGTGCCCTCCCACCTATTGCATGTTAAAATATTACCAGCTAAGTGTTTCCTTGTAAAGGTAAAAATATGGTATGTTCTATTATGATTTGAGTTTAAAACATAAGGGTTTATGAAATATCGTGTTCAATTTGTGATGCTCATTTTGTTCAATTTCTACAGTAGTAGTTGTTGCTTAAATCCTGATATCTTGAGGCATATGCCTAAATTATTAACTAAGAGTTCAAATTTCTTGAAGTTCCTCATCTGTACTGAAATTTAAGCAATTTGTTCAGATATTAAGCAAATTAGGCTTGGATAACATTATCTCTTAACTCAGATGTTACTTCCAGAACCAGTTATCTCTGCTCAACCATCAGAAAGTGCTGGTATTATACCTAACAATGAGGCAGAACACTACAACGCTTATTTGGTCAGATGGGTTGGTTGGGCCTTCAGACTTGACCAGATGCTGTTTTTGACATGTTGTAGTCAGGTCCTACAATGAAACATCCTGAAGATGAGAATGTTTTAAGGGGAAATGAAACATTTTAAAAAATTAACTCAGGTGAAATGCATACCTAAGTTCACATTCTCCATTCATGGGTGACCCAAAACACATGAAACTAGTCATTTTAGCAATGTTTCACTTGCTAGCTTTCCTGGAGGGTATTCCAGAGCAGATGACTTCTTAATATTTCTTAAGGGTAAGAAAAGAAAACATTTCCTTTCTGCTTGGGAGGCTAAGAAATTGAAAAGAATTGTTAAAAGGGTTGTTGGATGAGTTGTTCATTTTAAATCTAAGATAGATACATTTTTGTTAAGCAAAGGTAGTAAGGGATATGGGCCAAAGGCAGGTATATGGAGTTAAGTAACACAGATCAGACATGATCTCTCAGAACATGGAACAAGCTCAAGGGGCTGAATTGCCTATTCCTGTTCCTGTGTTTATAAAAGTACACTGGCTGCTTAAACACTGGTTCTTGTGGAGACTGTGGATATCGGATTCTATTTCTCAAATATTTTAAGCAAATGCTGTACAATGGGCCTACGGAAAATGGTATACCCAGAGAATGTTATGTAGACAATGGTTCACAATGGGATACAAAATGTGAGAGAGTGGTTCTGAACTGACCTTGCTGGCTTGAAACAAATGCTAGAGGCAAAAAAAAAGACTTCTAAACTTAAGTGGATGGATGTAAATCATCAACTGTTTCAGAAAAAGAAATGCATGTACAAAGAAATTGTTAAAATTGTCAAATCTTGTTGTCACATACGCAACTTCACACTGATAAGAGATCTATAAAATGCTCTCAATATTTGCTTTGAACAGCCTGAATATTTTCAATGCAATTTCTTTTGAAAATCTATTAATTGTACATTCATTATTTGCAGGTATTGGGCATTAACTGGGACTTCCTTGCATCCCCACTGAAGAGTCAACATAAGAGCATATTTCTACGGTATCCAGAACATCATTTAACCTTTACAAGATCAGACTATCGGGCCATCGTCATTAGCATTTGTGTGAACTTGCTGCACATAAATTTCTTAATTACAACTGTTGCCATTTCCAGAAGTGTTTCAAACGTTATAGACTTTCTGCAACTTTCGCATCCAAAATAAAGCCCAATTCATCTAAAACTGTTACTTATTGCTATTGTTCCCAACCACCTTTCTAAAATTCTCAGCAATCTTTCAGCAGCTCCACATTTTTTGACTCAATCAGATGGAGTAATTATTCAATGACACAGTTAAAGAAACTGAACCATCATCACTTACTGCTGGATATATTAATATGTCCAGCTTCTACCCCAGCTTTCACAGCATCTTTCCCCAGGTATCCTGCATCTCCTTTGGAAATCCTCTCTTTCTCCTTCTCTTCAAGGCTTCCATAGTAAATCCGAGATTTCTTAGGCAACGGAGCATCATCATCATCAGACATTCTTGTAATATGGGGTAGGAAACTGTGGGTGTAGAAAATGCATAAAATTAAACCGTTTTGACCAGAGGTAAGAGATGAGAAAGGCAGGCTGTTTGACTCTAGCTCTAATCTGCATGTACACACATCTGCATGCTTAAATTGGGGTGTTGCTCAAAGGAATTCTGGTTTTTTGATGCCTTAGGAAACAAGTTGGAACAGGAAGAACTGAATGAGTGTTGATTTCTAACCCAGGAGGAGATAGAATCTTTGGATCATGCTTTTGGAGCTTCAGAGGAACAAGCAGGAAACTAGGAGAATCAAAGACAACAGAAGCATCCATGGAATAAAATCAAGAAAGGCTCTGGCAGAAGAGAAAAAGGATCACAGAAAATTTGGAACTGTCTCCCCAAATCAAAAGCAATGCACCTTAGGATAATTTGAGCTATTGAATTAATAAGATCATTATTTTGTCAAAGTACCAAGAAAAGTTGAGCGAAGGTAGATTCTTGGAGTTGAGGTACAGATTAGCCACAACATGTCTGAATAGGTTGATTAAAAAATATCTAAATGAATAGTAAGTGCAATAGGGCTCAAAGGGTTGAATGATCTACTTCTATTCCTAACTAGAGATAACAAAAGTATCAGATGATCTCTTGCTCCTTACAGTGGAAGATGGAAGTGTTAAATTATCCGCTTCGGTCTGAGTGGCAAAGCTGAACATATTTCAAAAGTAAAAGATAAGCAGATGTTGACATTAAGGTGAACTTGAGGGTCATCATACCCATCTTACAAAAGATTAATTTGTAGGTATATGGTAGATATATTGCTTGGGTTTTAAATGTTATTTGAATATTGAAAGAGTAACATTTCCAAATTTTCCAATGATACCAAACTTGGAAATAGGACTAACGATAACAATGTTACCAACTGCACAGGGTAGCACAGTGGCTCAATGGTTGGCACTGTCTCTCAGTGCCAGGGTCCCGAGTTTGTGGAGTTTGCACGTTCTCCCCATGTCTACATGGGTTTCCTCCGGGTGTTCTGATTTCCTCCTACTCCAAAGATGTGTAGGGTGGGTGGGTGTGTGTTAAATTGCCCATAGTGTCAGGGATGTTCCGGTTAGGTGGGTTAGCCATGGGAGATGGGGGGAATACGGGAGGGATGCTTGGTGTGAACTCGTTGGGCCGAACGCTTGCACACGGTAGGAATTCTACGATCCTAACTGCCAGTCGGAGAACATAGGCCGGCAGATTGGGAATTTAACAAGCGATTCACTTTGGAAGAACTGTTTGGGAGAAGGAAATATATACTTAATAACCCAGTGCTAAAGAGCGCGCAGAGAGACGGGGAGGGGATGGGACTTGGTGCCAACGTGCACTAAACTCTTAAGGTGGCAGGATACACAGAGCGTGATTAACCAAGCACATGGGAGTCATGAGCTCCCTAAATAGAAATGTTGATGGAAAAAAGCAGGGGATTTACGCTGAAGTTGAATAAAGCTGTGGGCCATAAGTAGAGCATTGTGTGTGGTCTCTGGTACAATACAGCCTCCCCTCCCCCACTGGTGGCCGCAATGACCGACTTCACCCCACCTAACAATCCGCAGGCCCGGTTAAAGACAGGGAGGTGACGACGATGGCCAAGACCTAGCTTTAGGCTCTCTCCTGTCTCTATCTCTCTCTTTCCCCCGGCCTCAGCGCGGCCTCTTACCAGCTCCTGCACCGTCGTTAAGCCAACACCGACTGCGTCCGGGGCAAAGGGTTAGGAGGCGGCGCACAGGCTGCTGGGAGTTGTAGTCATTTCCACTCCATCGGCTCAGAAACTACATGTCCCAGTGTGCCATGCGGTGGTGACGCGAAGCGCGGCCTGTTCGGTCTGAACCCTCCAAGTTGGATGTGACTTCTAGCGGCAGAATGCTGCGGAGGAAGCCCACCCGGCTCGAACTGAAGCTGGACGATATCGAGGAGTTTGAGAGTATGAAGAAGGAGTTGGAGGTGAGTGTCAAGGTGGCAGGAGTTTGGCCAAGGCTGGCTCCAGGCTCGCTCCGCCAGAATCTCGGCGGGGCCTGGGCCTCGGCCTCACCCTCACCGTCCGCCCCCAGAGCCAGGCCCAGCATCGCCTGGACACGGCACCGACAAAAGGAAGTGGAAATCGCTTCGAGTTAGGCGGGAGGAGACCCGGTGAAGAGAGACCAAAACACACCACTCCCCACACCCACACACTTTATATCCTTCCTAGAGCGTTTACACCCTGGAACATTAAGCGTCCAGTCCTGTCCATCCCTGAGCCACGTCTCTGTAATTGCTATGATATCCCAGTCCCATGTTCCCGACCATGCCCTCAGTTCATCTGCCTTACCTGTTAGGCCTCTTGCATTGAAATAAATGCAGTTTAATTCATCAGTAATAGCTCGTTCTCTGCTTTGTTCCTGACTGTCTGACCTGCTCCTTTTCCCATCTGCACCAGTCTTGGGGACTGTCCTGTTTTCTCACTATCTCCCTGGGAAATCTGGCAAATCTCCCCACCAGTATATTAGACCCTTTCCAATTCAGGTGCAATCCATCCTTCTTATACAGGTCACTTGTATCCTAGAAGAGATTCCAGTGATCCAAAATTGTGGATCCTTCTCCCCATCACCAGCTCCTCAGCCATACATTCATCTGCTGTATCCTCCTATTCCTATCCTCACTAGCTCATGGCCCTGGAAGTAATCCAGATATTACTACCCTGAAGGACCTTTTTTTAAAATTCCTGCCTAACCTGTATAGAATGATTTAAAATTAGGGATATTGAAACTGCATTAGAGGTGCAGTGATATTTTGGAGGTCACAGAATTGGAGAAGATTACGAACGTCAGGAGGGTCCAGGCTGTGGAGGGATTTGAAAACAATAATGAAGATTTTCTATAATAAAGGTATTGATTAACTGGTAGTCTGTGTGGGTCAACTAGTACAAGAGGGATTGGTGCATGCTGCACATTAGAGTGCAGGCATCAGAGACTTCAATTACCTCAAGTTCAGTGTTTTAGAATGTGGGAGATCAGCCAGGAATGCATTGCAATAGTCATGTCTGAAGATAACAAGCATGGATAGGGTTTCAGCAGCAGAAGAGCTGAAGCAGTAATGGAGTCAGACAATTCAACAGAGATGGCAGTAAAAACAGAAGTTGCTGGAAAAGCTCAGCAGGTCTGGCAGCATCTGTGAGGAAGAATCAGTTAACATTTTGAGTCCAATGACCCTTCCTCAAAAATGGGAATACTCATTTCTCACTACGGTGTAGATAATGTGATTAAAGCTCACCCAGAGTTCAATGCTACCAGGTCACAAACGATCTTCTTCAGCCAAAAGCAGTTTCTGGGGAGGGGGAAAGAATTGATGGTGATGGAGCAGGGCTTTTATTAGGGATCAAAGACAGTGGCTCTAGTATCAAAGTTTAGTTGGAGTAAATTTCTTCCATTTAGTCTTGGGTGTCAGAGAAGCAAGCAGGCAAAGTCAAGACATTGGAGGGTTCAAGTAAGGTAGTAATGAGGTAGATGTGAAACTGATTGCCGAGGGACAGTGTACAGTGAGAAATAGAAGGGGGCCAAAGATAGATCTCTGGGGGACACCTGAGATCACTGTAGGAATGGAAATAAGTCATTGCCAATGGTTTCCCTGGCTATGATGCGATAAGAATGGGATCAGGCCAGTCTACTCCCATCCACTGGATGACAAGGGAGAGTAATTGGAGGAAGATGGCTACCATGTTGAAAGCCACAGCCAGGATGAAGAAAGATAGTTTACCTTTGATATGATCACAGAAGGTGTCATTTGTGACTTGAATAAGAGCCGTTGCAGTGTTGATTGGAAGGATTCAAGTTTTGGAAAAGATGGGCACAGATTTGAGATACCACAAACACTTTAAAGGATTTTGGAATGGGGGTGGTCAGAGATAGGGCAGCAGTTTGCAAGAAGGGGGAATTAAAGGTATTTTTTGATGAGGGAAATATGATGGCAGATTTGAAGGAGAGAGGAACAGAACCAGAGGAGATAAGAACCATTAGTAATTTTAGTTAATGTGTGAGCAAGGAAGGAAAGTTGGTGGTCAGTAATATAGTGGGAATAGGGCTGTGGGAGTACAAGATGGGTCTCATGAACAAGATGAACTCTGGTGGTGAGCAAAGAGAGGAGAGAAATTACAAAGGAATGAAATTTCGGCTGAGTGAAAGGGAAACCATAGATTCCACGATCACTCTTGGTAAATGTTCCTGCACCATTAGGCTCTTAATGAATATCTGGCTCATTTATTAAACTAATATGGCCTGCCTGCTTGTTGGTTCTAGTACATATTGTTGCAAAACAACTGTCCTGAACACACTCAAGAAATGTGTTGATTTTCTAACATGAGTTTATTTGCTTTGTCCAAGCTAGGTGAGTAAATTAAAGAAAAGGGGAGAAAGACGCAAGGGGGATATAGACAAGTTGTGAGTAGGCAAACATTTGACAGTTGGAATATAACGTGGGAAATTGTGAGGCTACATGCTTGGGCAGGAAGAAAAGAATACTATTTGAATGACAATAGACTGCAAAAAGCTGCAGCACAGAGGGTTTTAGGAGTCCTCATGCATGAATCATAAAAAACTTATCAAGTACAGCTATTAATAGTGAACGCATATGGAATGTTAGCCTTTATTTCAGGGGGAATGAAATATAGAGAGGACTTGCTAAAACTATATAAGCACTAGTCAGACCACACCTAGAATACTGTGGAACAGTTTTAGTCCCCTTATCTAAGGAAAGATATACTGGCATTGGAGACAGTCCTAAGGAGGTTCACTCGGTTGATTCTGGGTATGGAAGGATGTTCTTCTGGAAAGATGTTGAGTATGTTGAGCCTGTACTCATTTGATTTTAGGAGAATGGAAGGTGACCGTATTATAACATACAAGATTCTTGGCGGGGCTTGAGAGTGTAGATGTGGAGAGCATGTCTCCCCATAGGGGAGAATCTAGGACAAGTGAGCATAATTTCAGAATAAGGGGTCACCCATTTAAGGCAGGTGAGGATTCAGCTGATCTTTCAATTTTTACGAATGATTTGTGCTGTGAATTTCAATGATCGTACTATATTCGATTTTACACAATGTCCCCTAGTAATTGACCCTCCACCCTGTAAACAACCCTTATACTTTCCGCTCTATCCATGCCATTCACAATCTTATAAACTTCTCTATCAGGTCGCGCCTCAACCTCCTGCATTTTAGTGAAAACAAACCCAGTCTATCCAACCTTTCTTCATAGCTAAAATCCCCATACCAGGCAACATCCTGGTAAGCCTTTTCTGTACCCTCTCCAAAGCATCCACATCCTTCTGGTGGTGTGGTGACCAGAACTGTATGCGATATTCCAAATGTGGCCTAACTGAAGTTCTATAAGGCTGCAGCATAACTTGTCTATTCTTATACTCAGTGCCCCTTCTAATGAAGGCAAGCATCCCATAGGCCTTTTTTACTACCGTATCTACCTGTGCTGCCACCTTCAGTGATCTGTGGACCTGCACACCCAGATGTCTCTGCATAACAATACTCCTAAGGGTTCTGCCATTCACTGTTTAATTTCCACCTGTACTTGACCTTCCAAATTCATTGCCTCACACTTGTCTGGATTAAACTCCATCTGCTATTTTTCTGCCCATGCCTCCAACTGATCTATATCATGCTGTATCCTTTGACAATCCTCCTCACTATCTGTAACTCCACCAATCTTCGTATCATCTCCAGACTTACTAATAAGACTAGCTACGTTTTCCTCCAAATCATTTATGTAATCACAAACAGCAGAGGTCCCAGCACTGATCCCTGTGGAACACCACCACTCACAGCCCTCCATTTCGAAAAACATCCTTCCACCACTACCCTCTGTCTCCCATCTTGCCAGCTTATCCCTGATACCATGTGACTTCACTTTTTGCACCAGTCAGCCATGAGTGACCTTGTCAAAGGCCTTACTGAAGTCCAGGTAGACAACATCAACTGCTTTTCCCTCATTAAACATCTTCGCAAGCTCCTCAAAAAAACTCAATCAAGTTAGTGACACACGACTTCCTCCACACAAAACCATGCTGTTTATCACTAATCAGTCCATTTGCTTCTAAATGTGTATAGGTCTTCTCCCTGAGAATCTTTTCCAATAATTTCCCTACTGCTGACGTGAGGCTCACAAGCCTGTAATTTCCAGGATTATCCCTGTTACCCTTTTTAAACAATGGGACATTAGCTATTGTCTGGGACCTCACCTGTGGCCAAAGAGGACACAAAGATGTCTGTTCAATGCTCCAGCAATTTGTTCTCTTGGAACAACCTTCTTTTGAAAGTTCTTGTCTCATACCATTAAACTTTGCCTTAACTCCTAGAAATCAGATCAACAATGATCTCATTGAATAGTGGAGCAGACTTGATGGGCTGAATGGCTAACTTCTGCTCCTGTGTTTACAGTTTAAATGCTTACTGTCCCCATAATTACTAAATCCACTATAGCTGGAACATTGCACTGCCCTGCATCCTGTCATGGGAATGTTTGAGCTCTGTAGAGGTTTTACCAGTTTTTGCTGTGTGGCAGTCCTGAACCTTTTGGTGAGACCTCAGGTTGTTGCCCCTCTGGCTCCAATGTGTCTAATTTCCACCTGAGGTGTTTTAAGAGCTGTGGGCACACCTGGTAAATCCTCAATGTGGTCTGGTCTTTCTGCAGAATCGGAAGAAACAGCAGCGTGAGGAAGGAGTCATGGTGAGCTCCAGTGATGTGGACAGTGCAAATGGAGCACGAGATGATGCCAAGGTCAGAGAGAAGATAAATGAGCGAATTGGTTACCGACCCAATCCTCACATCAACAAACCCTTCTCTCTGTTTGGGAACCTCCACTGATGGCCTATTGACAGCAACACGTATGGAGTGTACAAGTTCACCAGGCTGCGAAATATGACCTGAATATTTTGAAGATTGTTAATTCAAAGACGTGTTGCTCTTGGCAAAATTGGTGCCCAGCTGACTCTCCTGCTAAGGACAGTGCCAAATGCAAGATAAAATGGTGTGAAAATCACTGACCTAGCCATGCGCTCTGTAAATATTTCCACAAGTGTCTTATAAAGAGGTAATGAGCTGATCCTTCGTTTTTTAGGAATGACTTATGTTGTGAATTCCAATGATCACACTATATTGGATTTTACTCAGTGGATTATTTTAAGATAATAAACATGCCTATTATTTTTCCAGTTGAAATGATTTGTGGTAATAGAGTAAAAGGGATTGATTAGTTTAGATTTTCTGATCAGCATTACTTTCATAGATAGAATACTGTCAGCATTAAAATAGCAGCAATCAGAAAATTCTGGGTTTGTTGTTCCCTCACATCTCCATTCAGCACAGTCTATGGATGAGATGGTTAGGGCTGCAAATAATGACACACCTCTCTTGAATGCAGATGAAAGTCGGGACCATTTTCCCCATCAATCACACCCAGAGATCTCATTGTTGGAAATGGCTGGTATTGATTTCATACGTATCAGTTGTAACTGTTCTCTATTCATCATACTTTACTGGAGAAATCCCCTGCTTTGGCCAGGTTTTGCTGCAGTTTTGGCCACAAGTTCTGCTAACAGCAGTTTAGGGACATGAAAGCAGAGTTAGCTGTTTAGCTGCTCCACCATTCAACTATTTCCCAGCACTATTTTCATATTCCTTGCCTTTAACTAGGAATCTATTGCTGTCTGTAAAACAGACCCTGTTATTAAACTTTATTTGCTTTGCTGTTTACTATAATTCCCTCCCCTACCCCCATTGGCTTACATCGGGGTAACAGTAGACAATCTGGAATATTAGCTGCTGGATGATCAGGTTCAGAGCTTTGCCTGTAATATTGAAGTGTTGTACGCAGGTGTAGAAGACTCATTTAATTGTGTCAAAACCAAATGCATGGAAACTGTGCTATTCTCCATTGGGTCAGACAATTAATCAATCAGCACCAGCTACTTTATGATGAGGTTTGGTTTATCCAGTCTCTTTTAAGTTTTAAATATTATCCTGCATTTTGCTTACAGATGACATAATGTCAACAAGACACACTGCAGAACTTGCCAAGGCTACTTTAGCAGAATGTCTGAAATCTGTGACCTCCGCTAAGATGGAAGAGGGCAGCAGGTGCATGGAAACACTACCATCTCCACGTTTTGTTCCACATTGCACACCACTCCAAACTGGATATTATTACCACATCTAAATTGTCTTGACCAATAGCAGAAAAAAGAATGCTGGGGAAACTCAGCAGGTCTGGTAGCATCAATGGACAGAAAAAAAGGTTGTGGAGAATCCAATATGATTCTTCTTCAGAACTGAAGGGAGTAAAATTGACAGTGCTTTCACTGTCCTTATGCAAATTTTTTATTCTGGATTGTATTAACTGAATTCAAATTTCATTGTATGCCACATGGGATTCAAACCCATGTAATCTGGGCTTCTGGTATACTGGTCTAGTGACAATACCTCCATAATAGGTCTCCCTGTTGGTAATCTCACATCTGGCCACAGTGTCTGTGAACTTTTCCAACATAAATTCCAATGGTCATCTTTCTGTTGTAAATTTGTTATAGTAATTACTTTCTGCTGCTAGTAAATGCACTAAAGCATTTTCATTGGCAAGAGGATGTAATTAGATTATGACCGGTTTAAATAGGCAGCCTCCATTAAAAGAGACACATGCACAAGCAGGTTGTTTCACTTTAAAATTAGAGCTGGGGCTGTTATGATGATAGTGTCCCTACCTCTGAAGCAGAGGTCTGAGTTCAAATACTACCTGCTCCAGAGATGTGTAATGATATTTCTGTACAAGTTGATTGATTTTAAAAGAAATTAAAATGAGCACTGTTCAATTAGGTACATGACTGTACCAGAGCTGGATGGATCCAACCTAATTGGTCTTAATCCTTTTCGTAGGTCTATCCAATAATATTTGGATTATAGAGGCAGGTTACATTCAGCAAACAGGAATGGAATAAGATTGAATTCCTATTATTCATGTAACCAGTCAGCAATTTGGTATAACTTCAAAAATAACTTTAACAGAGACAGGGATATGTGTAACACAGCTGCACTTGAGTTTTTTTTTTAAAATGAGCTGTTGGACTTTCTGCTCAAATTTTTGAAGTTAATTTGTAGGATGTGAGCATTGTTGGCTGGTCATTGCCTATCCCTAGTTGTGTTGAGGTGGTGGTGGTGGTGAGCTGCTTTCTTGAACTGCTGCAGTCCATGTGCTGTAGTAGACCCACAGTGCTATTGGGGGTGCCAGGATTTGGACTAGTTACAAAGCACAAAATGGGGTCTCCTCTCAGTAAGACTGTGTTTCAATGCCCTCAAGATCACTAAAGCCACAGGAACAAAGAAACAATTCCAGCAATTCCAAATATGGTTGTAAACTGATTAGGTCAAAGTATTTGTGAGCAGACAAATTAAAAGATATTAAGTGGCTTGGAGGGAAACTCTGGTAGTGGTGGTGTTCCCTTGTATCTGTTGTTCTTGTCCTAGGTGGAATTGATCACAAGTTTGGAAGGTGCTGAGAAGCCTTAATGAATCTCTAGAGTGCACTGTCTAGTAAAAAGAGTGGGTACCATCTCAGTGTTGGTGGTAGAGGAAGGAATTGTTTGTACAAGTGGTTCACCAGAGCGTACCAGGAATAAACCACAGTTTGAAAAGGAGTAATGAGCAAACTGATCAGGTTTCAAATCCCTTAGTTGAAGCAAAATGATAAACTGTTTTGCATGTATCTGCAGCATTTTATTTATAGCACTTGCTCTTTGAAGACACATTTATATTACTTATTGATGCTTGTATTTGAAGAGAACATTCTTCATTGCTCAGATCTTACAGCTGCCAAGATGGTTTGTCAACACAAGAAATAACACAGTTTAAAAGACAAACTAATAGTTTATTGGAAATAAGCATGATAATATATTATTTTTCCAGTACAGAAAATTGCATTGTACAATCTCAAGAATTGTTTCTGACAGCTCACCAGTAAGATAACATTGCAACACTGAGGTGCTGGAGTGGGAGGAAAATCATCAACATGTTTGAGAACGGAGAAATCAAATTATAAGACAAAGGCTTAACAATGGGTGACCATTACTCATGTTTTCAGGAGAGAACCAAAGGCACTGAATTTCAAATACAAGCTGAGTAAAGATTTACCAAATTTTAAAGGGTGATTAAAAAAAAAACACCTCGTACAAGATTGACAACCAAAGAATTACAATATTTTCCCCGTCATATCCTTTTATTATCTATATTCAATGTGAAATGTGTGACTGCCATTTATTTCAGAAGGAGAATACACTCTTAAGTCACATTTTGACGATCAACTGTATTAATAGCAGTTCTGGGAGCACAAATGTGAAAATAGCAGCACAAACTAGCAAGAGCACTTGTCAACTCCTGCTCCAACATTAAATGCATAAAAGCCAAACTTACACAGCTCCAGTCCGAGCCAAGTTTTAGTTTAAAAATACCATTGGTTCTTTCTGCTCAGCTTGAGTTTTAAAATCTGAAATGGAATGCTTTCAGTGGCAATATTTTAAGAGTACCAGAGGAGAGGAACATTGTGTGCGCACTTAAATGCAGGACACCTTGCCATTCATTGTTGGTTAGTCCAAATGACACTTTACGGTGTCATGGATCGTGGCTATAGTACAAACGTGGATGACCATGTTCGTTGACACTGCTATATGAGCTAATGAATTGGAAGCAATGAGGACTCAGGACTCAATAACAAACCTGTTTCACATAAGCAAATACAGGTAGTCCAAAATTAAAAACAGAAAATGCTGGAAATACAATGGATCAGCCAGGGAGAAAGAAACAGCATCTAGGTTAGTGATCTCGTCAGTTTTGAGTATTTCCTGCATTTTGTGTTTTATTTTTATTTTACAGCAGAATCTCTTTAAACAGTTCCTATCTGTTACAGCAACCAGAATCTGTACAAACTAGAGAAAAAAAACTTGACTGAAAATCCCAATAAAAGCAGGAGTCCAGGAGAAAGTAGTTAGTGGAGGATAGTCTCAACGCAAAGTACATCTCATCTGCAGGCTTGGTTCATATGGTCAGGTCGTGTAGTGACACTCTATGCAGCTAATATGAAAAAGTTACTTTCTGCAAGATGAGGAATTCCAAACACAGCCCTCAAAATAATTTTTTAATTAACCAACTGCTGCTCAAAGGTTTGTGTCATTCCCACCCCAATGGCCCCATTAGCAAGCTTTAAGTATACACCTAACTGGTACCATTTTACAAAAAGGCTCTCACTTTACAGAGAGTATAATAGTGTTACTTAGCGGTGCCTCTGGAAACTCTGTCCTGGGGCTATCACTAGACAAAAATATTGAAACAATTTAATGCTGATCAGATTAAAGTTGTAACTCAGGTATTAAACAGTAGCACCACCTCATAATTCCTTCTGTTAATCATGATTTAACATCAATTTTGTTGGGGAAATACAAGCAAGACTAAAAGAACATGACAGAGGATAAGTACTGCCAAGATTGGTGGGGAATCAACACAACATTAGTGAACAAAATTAAAACCAATGAGGTGAGACTTCGGTGTGGGACGTGACCCTTCCAGACAACATCCCAAATCTCATGGGCTGCTAGAAGTCCAAAAAACAGCATGGTCACACAACAGAGAGCTGCATCTCCATTGACTGTGTCAAGTACAGTGCAAACTTCAGAAAATGCAAGTGTTTATTTCAAAACACTGAAGATCTTCTAAGGTGTCATGCTTTGATGGACTTGGTGACAACAAGACACCAGAGATCCAAAATTTTTGGAATAATCAGGGTAGTCAGTCTAGAATCTTCAAATTCTTTAGATTCTTACTATGTTTTTTTCTTATGCCAGGTTTTATAACTGTCTAGTGACACAGTGGATAAATGCATTATCTACGATCTTACTCAACCATGTGGTCACTGATCTCAGTTGGGTGAGAGTAATGTACTGCATCCACAATTGTTGGATCAAGAATGGGTGGGATTATGGAAATAAGCCAAGCAGCTCACTATCTTAAGGGAAAGTACATGTACATAGACGTTAGATGCAAATAATATTCAGCCTGAACTATAATGATCCCCTTACTGGAGCAACCTATAAACTCAATTGCAAAGGCTACTTGAGTAGAGGCAACCAGCCAACACTTGTGGAATCTCAGTACATCAAATGACTTGGAACAGGCTAAACACTCATTGCCATCTTGACAGAACAGCAGGTTTCTGCAAAATGACAATCTAAATTAGGCCAAATGGTCTCCACATTCACACATTGCTTTGTGATCCTTGAATGCCAGCCAAAGAAGAGGGAACTAATCAAGTTGATCTTAGAGACCTTCACAGCTGCCACTGAAACTTATCAAGTAGAATTAAGGACCTGATTGAACTCATTTCCTTGCCCACTCCCCCGGCTCTCCTCGACTAAACACGGCAAAAAAGAACATTCGAATTAATATAATTGGCAAAACCTAAAGTTCCCTCACAATTTCTGAGCTGCTCTGGATTACAATCACCAGTTGATTAAAATTGATCAAATTTCTAAAAATAGATTCCGGAGGACCAGTCCATTCATTCCTATTGGTCCTGAGCAAGTTTGTTCCATTCATATGTATCTGTGCAGGCCCAGCAGCACCCAAAAAAACCATGAAAGGAGTCTCTCCCCAGTCCTCCAATGAATACAAGTACAAATACTCTGCTAACCAATAGTGAGGAAAATTCCTACCATAAACACCAGGTAACAGCATATATCTACCTGGAATCAATACATAATTTTCTTATTAAATTACAATTCCATCAGCACAAATAAAAAACATTATGAATCAAGGATCCAAGCATCAATTTTGAGAACCAGGAGATTGAACAATAGGATGGGGTTGTGGGCAGGAAAGCAAATTGCAGACAATACAGATGCATTTCTGTATTCAGACTTTTTTTTTTAAAAAAGTGAACAATTACATTTAAAAAATCAAATATTCTTGATGTGAACCAAACAAATACAATTTCTTGCCATTAACATTATGTATGCTACTGAGTATTTTATTAAGGGAGAGGAGGTCTTTTTGTTTGAAAAAAGAACTACTTATGAAGTGATCATCATTAAGTCTTGGTCCTGATAGTATTCAGCTTTGTATAACACATTTGAAAATTCTATTTTTTAAAAAATTTTAATCCTTGCAAAACAAAAATTGCTTCACTATTCACTTATACTGACAGGAGAAAATCACAGAGTGACTTCATATCCTCACTTAATTATGTCATTTCTGTCTACAAACTGATATGCCATATCAGTGTAGAAAGATATGGTTTTGGCCATAACTATTGCTCACTTTAACTGTGGGAACTATGGGAAACTACAATTAAAACAGAAATTCATTTAGCTAGCTTGAAGTGACTAGAGTTTTACATAATTCCATCTGAGCGAAGATGACATTGTAAAGATTTCATGAACAACTCCAGGTAAAGCAATGGCTCATCGTTTAGGATTCTTAGCACACTTCATTATACATGAAGTCCGAAGTGGCCGCTCCAGCACCATTACCCAAGATCATGCCTCAGGTTTCTGAAAAAAGTGTAAACCTGCTCTTTGGCAGCAATTAAGGCGTGAAGCTCAAAAGAAAACGATTTGAGCAGCGATCCTTCAACTGGAGTCTGAACAGAGTAATGTGTATATGTATAGGGGGTGCCAGCATTTATTTGGCCCCGTCTGTGTGTGTCCGTCTGTGTCCATGTATGTGTCCGTCTGTCTGCGTGTGTCCCCGATGTCTGTGGATCCCCGGTGTCTGTCTGTATTTTTAAACTGGCTGAATGGTCATTTCCCGCTTGGCAGATCATAGTGCTGGGGAGTGCAATTTGCTCACTGCTGTCGTTAATGGCAGTGTTCAGTGATGTCCACCACCACTGCTTTCTTCCAGCTGAAGAGGAAGTATCCAGCACCTGCACCCAGTGCCACAGCAATGCAGAGGTAACCGTTGTAGGTCATAAAGATCAACATGAGGAAGTAGCTGATGACCACTTGTATGATGTGAAGTAAAGTCTGGATGAGGTGGGGCACACTGAACATCTGCTGGCTGCAAACAAAGGGATCAGTCAGTGAAAAACTCCAGCTCTTTAGGGTCAAATGAACAAGTGATACAGTTTTATGAGCACCCTATTCAATTGCTGCTTCCACCCTATTCAATGTTGCTTTTCCCCACCTCAGTTGTTCAGTCAATGTGAAGTTAGGGTTAGAACGGACGAGAAAGTAATTCACATAAAAATGCAATATGCCATCTGTGGTATATTTAATGATGGCCAGTTTTTCCTGCATCAAAGTCTGACCACTGTTCACCAAATCCAAAATTGAAGCCCAAACTGGGGTGCCTCCCTGTAGAAGGTAATTAGCCACATTTCCCAATAATATTTTGCTTTAAATTATAGCCAAAAGTAGAAAAGAGGTGCAAAAAGGTGCACAGACAGGGTTGACGGTCAGAATCTTTTTCCTAGAGTTGAAAATGTCTAAAACTAAGGGGTATGCATTTAAGGTGCGAGGGGAAAGTTTTTTTTAAACACAAAGAGTGGTAGGGAGACTGGAACATGCTGCCAGGGGTGGTGGAGGCAGACACAATAAGGGTGTCTAAGGGAGTTTTAGATAAGGACATGAATATGCAAGGCATGGTGGGATATGGACCAAGGGCAGGTAGAAGAGATTAGTTTAATTTGGCATCACGTTCAGCACACCATCATGGGCCAAAGGGCCCGCTCCTGTGCTGTACAGTTCTATGTTCCATGTTCTGGAAGCAATTTACACTAACAGTATTGCTCAATAGTTACCGCCCTTTGGTGTCTTCCCCATCCCTCCACTGAAGATATTCACCCAAACCTGAACAACCTTCAACTGAAATGAGCCACTCCTCAATATCTCAGCACAGGCCTGTCCACAATTGATAGGAGGACATGCAGTTTCCAGAAACTGCAACTGAGCAACCAGAGTTGATGGCGGTGTGTTGTGGGAGATGCAAAGCTAAGGCTAATTGTAGTACCAATCTTCCCATCCCTGAAATAGCCTGGCCTTTCTAGGTGAGTACCAAATCTCGATGTGTATTTTGCATCACTCACCCAACAGTTTTGTGTGTTTCCATCAGGATTGTCCCATTTGGTCCAGGTACAGGCATGGAATTATAACGAACATTAACCTGCGATTTCCGAAGCAAACATTCTCGACTGATTTTCAGCCCCTCGTAAGCCAATGCACACAGGAAGACAACCACGCAGGCACCGACCATCCCTGCAGAAGACAAATGAGCAAAGGCAAGATTAAGGTTAAGCAATCTAGAAATGTGGCAATTTGCTTGACCTACATAGTTAGGAATGATTTAACAAAGGCATAGACTATGTCATAGGGACAGGAATGGAAGAGAGAAAGGTCGGCAGGAGCACCTCAGCTCACACGGTGACAAAACACCAATTCTTACCTTCAATCTCAACTGTTGCTATTGGATCCAGAAGCTGCAAAATGAGTATTTTCTTAAAAAAAAAACTAAATGATAACAGTGACAATCTGGAATTAATGAAATGTCTTGGTCATTGGAAGATTGGGTCATGTGAAATCTAGAAATAACAAAGCTCTGACCAATTCCAGCTCCAGCCAGCTTACCACAGAGAACAAGGGCTCTTATAATGCAGTGGTAAGCTTTGGGCCAAGAGGTCCAGGTTCAAGTCCTACCTCCTCTTTAAGTGTGTAATAACATCTTTAAATAGTTTCATTAGAAAATATCTACAACAGAGAACATTTACATCCCTCTACATTTCCACCTGATGGAAGGTGCCTCCTAAACTTTTAAACACACACACTAATACTAATTCTACGAGTGGCAGTGACCTCCACGTATCTCACTTATGACTATTCTTCACATGTGAACCTGAAATCAGAGAATCAGGATTAATAGCACAGCTTACAATGACCTGGGGCTTCAGTCTGTCTGTTCTGCTGTGTCTCAGTTAGCGTTACTCACACTCTCCTCGCCATCAGAAGGTTTTGGGTTTCAAACATCAACTCAGGTTTACAAAAGTTCATTCAGTGGATGTGCGCTTTTGCTGGTTGAGCTGGCATTAATCATCCATCAGAAGGTGATGGTTGTGGTGGTTGGGGTGTGGGAGGATGTTGGTGGTGGTGGTGGTGGTTGGGGGATGGGAGGATGTTGGTGGTAATGGTGTTGGTGAGCTGTACTCTTGAACCACTGCAGTTGATTTGCTGTTGGGGAGGGACTTCTACAATTTTGACCCAGTGACACAGAAGGAATGGCAATATATTTCCAAGTCAGAATGTTGAGTATTTTGGAGGGAAGATTGCAGGTGGTGGTATTCCCTTGTACCTGTTGCCCTTCCAGATGGGTGCAGTGGACAGTTTGGAAAATGCTATCAGATGAGTCTTGCTGAAGCTCTACAGTGCATCTTGTGGATAGTTCACATTGCTGCTACCACAATGCAGTGACGATTGACAGTGCGATAATGAAGTTGGTGGATGAGCTGCCAATCAAGTAGCTGCTTTGTTCTGGATGGTGTCAAGTTTCTTGAGTGTTGTTGGAGATGCATTCATCTAAGCAAGTGGGAAGGATTCCATCACACTCCTGACTTGTGCCTTGTAGGTGGTGGACAGGCTTTGGGCAGTCAGGCTGTGAGTTATACGCTGCTGTATTCCTAGCCTCTGACCTGCTCTTGTAGCCACTATTTATACGGCTATTCCAGTTCAGTTTCTGGTCTAAAGTAATCTCCAAATGCTGACAAGAGATTCAGCAATATGTCATAGGCAATGTTTCGACTCTCCTTGTTGGAGATGGTCATTGCCTAGCACATGCAGTGCAAATACTACTTTCCGCTTGTCAGCCAAAACCTGCAAATTGACCATTTGGACATGGACTGCTTCAGTATTAAGGAGTCACGAATGGTGCTGAACATTGTACAAACAACAGTGAACATTCCCACTTCTGACCTTACGATGGAGGGAAGGTCATTGATGAAGCAGCTGAAGATGGTTGGCCCTGGGACACCCAGAGGAACTCCTACAGAGATGTCCTGAAGTTGAGATGACTGACATACCAGGTATTATTCGAATCAGCAAGGTATTCCCCCGAATCTCGCTGACTCCAGTTTTGCTAGGGCATGTTAATGCCACGTTCAGTCAAATGCAGCTTTGATGTTAAGGGTAGTCACTCTTGCCTCACCCCTGGAATTCAGCTCTTTTGTCCATGTTTGAAATAAGGCTGTAATGAGATCAGAAGCTGTTTTGCTCTGGCGTAACCCAAACTTTGCACATAATCAATGCCAATATTCAAATGAAGTACTGAAGGAGGGCTGCATTGGCAGTGGTTTGGTCTTTTAGGTGAAGCACAAGAACCAAAGAAATTGAAGTGAGGGTAGACAGTGCAGATGTTTGAGCCTGGTCCATCATTCATTAAGACCATGATAGAACCTCAACATCAATTCCTCATTTCACTATAAAGCCCTGTCAGCCTAACTCCAAAAATATATTAATGATAGTCACTAAGGGGTACTTATTGACCGAGCATTTACAATACCCTGGGCTAGAGTGTGTCACAGATTATCATCTGTCTAAAATGGCCATACCTTTACATTGAGACTATGTTCCAGCGCTAGACTCTCTAGCAAAGTGAACTAGACTCTCAGCAATTATCCCATCAAACCTTTTCAGAATTTTATACTTTCAGACCACCTCTTGTTCTTCTAAATGACAGAGAATATAAACCCAATGTACTCAAACTCTCCTGATAGGACAATCTTATCATCTCAAAAATCTACCTAGAGAACCTTCATTTTACTCACTAAATGCACCTCCTTTCTAATGTAGGGAATCCAAAACTATAGACAGAACTCTAGATGTGGTTTCAACAAATCCCTATATAACTGCAGTCCACTATTAAAAAACAATGAGGATTTAAAAGGGTCTCACAGAGGTTAACATTGATCAGCACTCCACAACATCTGGTTCAGAGCTCATAATCCCAGAATCTTGTCTTTGACCTGACACACAGTTTGGGATGTCCTGCCACACAAGCTTCAACATTTTCCAAACCAGCTGGGTGTTAGACTTCATTAATCTCTCCCAAACTAGCATTACTTTGAATATGAAATTCCCTTGTGTTCAAATTACACCCAAGTCCTTCCTCTTCCCCATTTTGTCATCTCCTCTAACCCAACATTATCAAGATCTCTATGTTCTCCATCTACAATTCTGAGCTCTCTTGGCTCCTATATTTTAATTGCCAATATCAATGGTAGCTGTGTCTACTGATGCCTGGGCTCCAAATTCTGGAATTGCTTCCCTGGACACCTGAGCCCCTCCATCCTCCTTTAAGATGCTCCTTAAAACCTACAGAATTGCTAAACCTTTTGATAAGCTGTCCTAATATCTCTTTCAGGGCTCTGCCAAATTTTGTTTATTAATTATTCTTAAAGTGTCTTGGGCCAATAACTGTGTTAAAAGACTCTATGTAAATGTAAGGAGTGTTGCTCGAGTCTCCAGCTGCAGATCATGGCCTCTGAACTGCCGTGATGTCAGTACTCACCTCCAACTGAGTTGATCACTAGCCCGGGGAAGAGCAGCTCCACTTTCTTATACCCAAAGTAGAAGGTCATTTGCTGAGGGATAAAGGAATTCAGATGAGATTGCAACCACAAAATCCAGCTAAACATTCAAACTGCTATCACTCCTGCAACATCCCAAACATGGTAAAGTAACAATATTGTGTTCCAGAAGCCAGATGGTGGAAAGTAGAATTGGAAAAAAAATCTGTGGGGTTTTATAAGCATTTATTTACAGATATACATATTACAAATATGCACCTTCTAACCAACTAGTTGAGATAAGCACCAGTGAATTCTCATTATTTGCACACAATTAAACATAATTAATATACAATTAATGGGACTGGACAAATGAACGATTAACAGTTAGGAGGTGGCTACACAATATCACCATCCTCAATGATATCGGTGCAAAAGCTGAGCCCAAAGAATTTGCATCTCTCAGGCTGAAGTGCTAAGTGGATAATCCAACTTGGCCTCCTCCAAGGATCCACAGCATCACAGATGCCAATCTTCAGCCAACTCGATCACTCCATGTGACAAAGAAACAGCTGAAGGTATTGGACACTGCAAAGGCATTGGGCCCTGATGACAACATTATAGTAATAGTACTGAATACCTTGTGCTCCAAAACTTGCCATACCCTGAGCCATGCTGTTCTAGTACAGCTACACCATTGGCATTTACCCAACAATGTGGAAAATTGCCTAGACATGTCCTGACCACAAAAAGCAGGACAAATGCAACCTGGTCAATTACCTTTCCATCTACTTTACCTTCCATCACTTTGACAAGCGAGAGTATCATCCACAGTGCTATCTAATGACACTTACTTAGTAATAACCTCCTCAGTGACGCTCAGTTTGCGTTCTGCCAGGGCCACTCAGTTTCTTTCCTCATTATAAGCTTGGTCCAAACATGGACAAACAGCTGAACTCCACAGGTGAAATGAGAATGACTACTGGCCTTGACATAAAGCCAGAAGTTGACTGCATGTGCCATTAAGGAGACCTTAACATTGGAATGACATTGCAAGCTATTTCCCTTCTAAGACCCCAAACAATTTCCTCTTAAATAAAATCATAGCTTAGTTACAGCATAGGAAGAGGCCATTCAGCCCACAGTACTCTGTCCAGACCTTCATGATTTTGAAGACATCAAACAAATGTCTTTTAACCTGCTCTTCCCAAGGAGAACAATCCTCACCTCTGCAATCTATATACTAAACTGAAGCACCATATCCCTGGACCTATTCTTGTAAATTATTTCTGTACCCTGTGTAATGCCTTCACAACCTTCCCAAAATGTGGTAGTCACAACAGCACAATACTGCAGCTGATGTTAAACCAGTGTTCTATACCACAAATTAGTTTTTGTAGAGCAATCCAACAGTTGGTGACTACATCTATCCAATTAATTTTAAAGATTACTTTTATCAATAGCACTTGTTTCAAGCCAGCAAGATCGATTCATCATCTTTTCTCACTGACACTTTAATGCAAATTGTGCATTATCTCACAATGAATGATTATCTATATAATCTATGATTATCTATAATCCACACTGACCATGTTCCCAAGTCAAACTAGTCCCACTTGTCTGTGTTTGGCCCATATCCCTCCAAACTCTGCCTATTCATGTACCTATCTAAATGTCTTTTAAATGTTGTAACTGTACCCACATGCAAGACTTCCTCTGGCAGTTCATTCCACACATGAACTACAGTGTAAAAAAAGTTGCCCTTCATGTCCTTTTCAAACCTTTCTCCTCTCACCATACAAATATGCCCCCCTAGTCCTGAACGCTCCCCACTCTAGGGAAAAGACCCATATTATTCACCATATCCATGCCCCTTATGAGGTCATCTATGTGTTGAACCTCTGGAGATGACAGAGATACTAAATAAATATTTTGCATCAGCTTTCACAGTGGAAAAGAAATGGAGTCTAGAGAACTTGGGGAAATAAATATTGATGTTTTGAAAACAGTTCACATTACAGAGGGGAAAGTGCTGAAGGTCTTTGAAAACAAAGGTGTATAAATCCTTGGACCTGATCAAGTGTATCCCAGGATGTTGTGGGAAGTTAGGAAAGAAATTGCAGGGCCCCTAGCAGAGATATTTGTATCATCCATAACCACAGGTGAGGTGCCGCAGGACTGGAGGGTGGCTAAATGTTGTGCCACTATTTAAGAAAGGTTGTAAGGAGAAGCCTGGCAACTGTAGACCTGAGTCTGACATCAATGGTGGTTACGTTGTTGGAGGTGATTCTGAAAGGTGGGATTTATATGCATTTAGAGAAGCAGAACTGATTTTGGATAGTCAGCATGGCTGTGTGTGAGGGAAATCATGTCTCACAAACTTGATTGAGTTTTTCAGAGGAGATAACAAAAAAGACTGATGAGGGCAGAACGGTGGATGTTGTTCACTTGGACTTTAGTAAAGCCTTTGACAAGGTTCCGCATGGTGGACTAATTAAAGTTAGATCACATGAGATTCAGGGAGAGCTTGCTAATTGGACACAAAATCAGCTTTACAGCAGGAGACAGAGGGTGGTGGTGGAGGGTTGTTTTTTGGACAGGAGGCCTGTGACCAGCAGTGTTCCACAGGGATCGGTATTGGGTCCACTTTTGTTTTCATTTACATAAACAATTTAGATGAAAATTTAGGAGACGTGGTTAATAAATTTGCAGATGATGCCAAAATTGGTGGTATGGTATACAGTGAAGAAAGTTATTTAAGATTACAAGGAGATCTTGATCAATGGGTCAATGGGCTGAGGAGTGGTAAATGGACTTTAATTTGGATAAATCCAAGGTACTGCATTTTGGTAAAACAAACAAGGGCAGAACTTATACAATTAATGGTAGGACCCTGGGTAATGTTGTAGAACAGACAGATGTAGGGCTTTAGGTAAATAATTCTTTGAAATTTGCGTCACATGTAAATGTGGTTAAGAGGGCGTTTAGCACGCTTGCCTTCGTTGCTCAGTCCTTTGAGTACAGGAGTTGGGATGTCATATTGAGATTGTACAAGACGTTGGTGAGGCCTCTTCTGGAGTACAGTTTACAGTCTGGTCACCCTGCTACAGGAAGAATATTATTACATTGGAGGGGGTTCAGGAAAGATTTACTAGGATGTTGTTGGGAATGGAAGGGTTTGAGTTATAAAGATAGGCTGGTCAGACTGGGGCTTTTTCCACTGGAGTGAATGATGACCTTACAGAGGTTTATAAAAATCAGTCCTTCTATACACCAATTGTATAACAGGATCTCACCTAAAATATTGACAAACAGAATCCCATTTCCACTGTACCCACAACCACGAGTATTTCAGCAGACCAAGTACTTTTAACAACCTTTTTTACTTTTAGTAAGCCTAGCTAAAGGGCATTTTCCATTCTTATCAATCAGAAATGTTATGAAAGCAGTTATAGTAGAATACCTATGAAAAGGATGAGAATATAAAGCTTCACAACAAGTGACTAGAATTTACAGTCAAATAATTGTTACAGCATAGGATGAGGCTCTTCAGCCCTTTGTGTCTGTGCAAACTCTGTCCAAATCAACATCATATAGTCCTTTTAGTTTAGCCCAGGCAAGTGTTCTCTTCAGACAATTATCCAAATCCCTTTTTCAAAGCCATAACTGAATCTGCCTCCATCAAATATCAGCCAGTGCATTCAGATCCTAACCACATGCTGCATAAAAATGATTCTCCTCTCATTACTGTTGGTTATTCTGCATTTCACTTTAAATCAGTGTCCTCTGGTTCTCGAATCTTTTAGCAACAGAAAGAGTTACTCTTTATCTATTCTATCTAAATTTCTCATCATTTTTATCATCGCTAACAATTCTCCTCTGAACTAACTCTTCATGAAGGAGAATAACCGGAACTGTTTCCATCCATTTCCATCGTTTTTAATTCCTCATCCCTGAAACCTCTTCAATGCCTTCTCATCCATCCTGAAGTGTGGTGCCCAAAACCAACAACAATTACTTAACCTGAAGGCTCCTTCAATAGTACCTTAATACCACAACCTCTGCTGCCTGAAAGAGTGAGGCCAGCAGACACAGGTGAGCGCCACCACCCACAAGTTCCCCTCAAAGTCACTTGATCCTACACAGAACTACATTGCGGTTCCTCCACTTACTGCTGGATCAAAATCCTGGAACTCCCTTCCAAACTATATGTGGGTGTACCTACACCCTAAGGACTGCAGCATTCTTAGAGGCAGCTCCCTTTCTCCAGGGCAATTTGGAAGGGTAATGAATGCTAGTCTTTCCAACAATACCTACATCCCACGAACAAAAAAAATGGAGTTGAGGCTGAACTAACTTACAAAAAAGGAACAGGGTGGGAACATGGCATGAGGACAAACACCAATATGGACTGGATGAACTGAGCAGCCTATTTCCATGATGTACTTTCTATGTATTTCTCCGCGGTTACCAGAACAATCTGTATTCATAATGCACCCTCATCATTGTAAAATAACCCAAGGCATTTCTCAGTAAAGCATTATCAAATAAATTTTAGCAATCAGCCACGTAGGAGATATTAGGGCAGACAAACAAATATTTGGTCAAAATATTAGGTTTTTGAGGGGTACCTTAAAAGGTTCAGAAAGGAAATGCCAGAGTTTTAAAGCCTTGACAGCTGAAGGTATAGCCGCAAGTGGGCCAGTGAGGCAGTCCAAAGTGGGACGCTGGCGGAAGCATGGTGTGGGCTGGAAAACCCGGAGCGGGACTGCGAGGAAACTTAGACTCTCTTAGAATAAGATTAGGAGAAAAATAACCTAAGTAAATGTGAATGGCGCCATGTATGTATGGTGAAGGTACACAGTTTTCACTGTATTTTTACATTGAATACACGTGACAATGAACAATTTGATTCAATTCCATTCAAGAAAGTGTCAAAATAATTAAAATCAGGGATACATAAAGGGCCTGAGTGGGAGAAGTTCATGTAGCTGAGGTTGTAAGGCTGCAGGAGACTACAGAGATAGGGAAGAATGAGATCATGTAAAGATTTTTAAACTAGGATGAGAATTCTAAAATCAAGACATGGCCAAACCTGAAGCTCAGTACAAGTCTGAGGGCACAGGAGAATGAGTGAATGGGAATCGGTGTGAGTTGGTGTTTAGACAACAAAGATTTGGTCAGACTCAAGTTTATCAAGGATGGAATATGGGACACTGACGAGGTGAATGACTGGACAACTGACATTTGGAAAGAGGTTGCCGTTATGAACAGCACTCTGTCTTCCACACACTAAAGTCCACGGTTACTGGTCTCTTTTAAGAAATGGTTGTGGTTTTCACAGCTGACAGCAACCAATCTCAGTGTCAGCAAAGATCCGAGAATAACTAACAGAAACACAAAGTGCTGGAATCACTGATGAAAGATGCACAATTGAAACACTGACTCTTCTATTTCCTCCAAATATGCTGCCTGACCTGTGACAGTTTCCAGTATTTTCTATGTCTCAGATTTTGCAGTACCTATACTTTCTTTTCCCCTTTGTCAGTTTTATTGCCAGGTGAAATTCACCTTCATGAAATTGTTTAGAATCCACAGATAAAAACCAACCTTTTCTTTAAAACAGGTATACTATTGTCCTCTGAGTGGTCTTTTAGGTATTTTTTTCATGATTGCAGATGACCTGTCCAGAGATTACTGCCAACCATTCTCAGCAGGACTCAGGGAAGTCACTCCCTGACAGTCTTGGGTTACAATGGTACAAACAGCACAACAAACAACTCAATGCAACGGATACATGTTGTGAGGAAAAGAAAGGTAACTGTCTACCCACCTCCAGGAACCTTTAATCTTGCATCGAGGATCAGACTGTCATTCTGAAAACCACATAACTTTACTTTTCCTTAATTTTTATAATGGGCATTGCCCCCAGAATGTATGTTTTAAATTGAAAACTACAACCTCAGTATGCATGAGGCTCAATGATCGGTTAATCACCACAAGCAAGAGAAAGACCAACAATAATCAAGGATCACAGTACAATTTGCACACGAAAAAGGGAGGTGAACATTTGATTTTGTGAAAGAGTGACCCTCCAGCAGTTTGGGAGCAAGTCAGAACCCCATCGGAGGGGAATTACTGCAGCAGTTAAGTTGGAAACTATCATCTGATTTATCATGCTGTATTCCCAAATGGCATGTGAAACAGCGATTTGTTCAGTCCCATTCTTAGCCTTTCCTCCACTTCACATCTCCCTCTCACTGGTGCACTCAATTTAATCAGAAATCTCTTAAGCTTTTGCCCCCCTCAATGCGGGCAAGACAGAAAGCAACTTTCAGGCAGGTCAGCAAATATGCACTTATTAGCAGTTTTTAAGTACCAACATTTAAATTTTAAACAATTAGTAATCGGAATTCTTACAGCAGCCAAAAAGGCACTTCGAACTATGTGGCACAGTGGTTAGCACTGCTGCCTCACGGTACCAAGGACCCAGGTTCGATTCCATCCTCGGACAACTGTCCGTGTGGAGTTTGTGCATTCTGCCCATGTAAGTATTGAGTTCCTCCGGATGCTGCAGTTTCCTCACACAGTCCAAGGATATGCAGGCTACGTGGATTGGCCATGGGAAGTACAGGCTTATAGGGATAGGGTTGGTGGGATACCCTTTAGAAGATTAGTGTGGACTCGATGGGCTGAAGGGCCTGCTTCCATACTGTAGGGATTATGATTCTATGCTGAAAATTAAGATCAAAAACACAGTGACTGTAACTGTCAGCAACATGAACTGTTCCTCACATCACACAAACAGCTGCTCCATGACTCACTAGGCACCTAGTCACTTATCTTAATGATAAGGAGGATCCAACTCGAAACAAAATGGTGCCTAAATTGAACACAAGGATCACATTATTCCATTTCCCAAATAAAATGAGCATCCTCCACTCACCTAGAACCACACAAGGAATTTCGAATCCCACCAACTTGCTATTTAGTCAAGGCTAGGTGGGAGTTGATGTAGATCCTAAAACATATGGGTAAGAAAGAAACCTTACCATCATCATGCCACTAGAGCCATGATCATGGCCTGGAGCAGATGTTGACAAGTGGTGAGCGTGGCTGTCCGAGCTCATTGTCATGCTGTGATGGCTGCTGTCATCCATTGACATATTCATTGTAGTGGTGGAGAAAATGAGTCCAAGATGCTCTATAAGGGTCTGGAAAGAGAAACAAACATCATTAGATTTCCCTGGCTGGATGTAAAGCATGCACCAAATTGGCCCAAAATAGGGGCAGGTCATCTATGCTCCAGATCGATTGCAGAGATGGATTTGCACCAAATGATGTTTTGGAACAAAACCAGCATTTTAAAAAAAAGTTGATCATGAGTGTTGTAATAGATTAATTAAAACTAACTAACAGTATGTTGTTGTTCTACAAGGCACTGATCAAATTACACCTAGAGTACACTGCGCCATGTTAGAATGCACAATATATTTCTAGCAGAAGGCATTGGAAGCAAAATATTTAACCTTTTACCAGGAATAAGGTGAAGAAATGAAAGCAAGAGACAGAAAAAGTAGAGCGATCAAGTGGGGTAGTTTGTGAAAGGGTGCTGGGGTGGAGAGAGTTTAGGGGTCAGACTGTGATGGGTCCAGGGGACATGAAGGGGGAGCGGAGGAGCTAAGGAGAGACAGAATGGGAAGACAGGGTGGAATTAGAGGGGCTGAAATAGTGAGTGGAATGAAGAAGCAACAGATACAAATACAAAGGAAAGAAATAACTTTCAGGGCAGATTTACTGAAAATAAATATCAGCACTTAGTGTTTCAGCTTGCAGGGAAAGCAAAATTAGAGGCCATTAATATAAAGAAATCAAACAAGTAATTCAGAAGAAACATCTTGATTGAGTGTGGTGAAAATATGCAACTCACTGCCCCAGCGGGCACTTGAGGAAAATAGTCTAGATACATTTAAGGGGAAAACTAGGTAAATACAGGGTTAAAGGAATTGAGGGTATCTTAATAAAAGTTAGGTATGATAGGATTGGAGGACAAGTGGAGAATAAACACTACAAGGTGAATGAACTATTTCTGTGTTCAATAGTCTATCCAGTTGTTTTTCTTACTATTACTAATGGATAGACATAAGGAATCTCCCAAACGTGGTTGGGTACTATGATCAGAGTTAATGTGCTGGAAGGATGAGTTTCAAATGGGACAAATGGACTTTTACAATTCATAACTTTGATTTAATACTCACTGTACAACATGCAAGCACTGAAAATGCAAAAATAAAACAAAAAAAACTGCAGATACTGGAGATCTGAAACAGAAACAAATTTCTGGTAAAACTCAGCAAGTCTGGCAGCATCCGTGGAGACAAAGCAGAGGTAACATTTCACGTCCAGTGACTTTTCTTCAGAGCTGACAGTAGCTAGGAAAAGATTGGTATATATGCTGAAGATTGGGTGAGGGGAGGAATGAAAAATGGTGGAAATGGAGCCCTTAGAGAGAGAACAACAATTGGGCCGACGAAGGATTGGGTAACGGCCTGGGGGCATGAATAACTGCTAACGGGGGACATTAGTGGCTGACACTGGATTGTGTGTGGTAGCAGCCCACATGATGACAAGGCCTGGTGCGTGGAGATTCGGGTGAGGACATGAGAAAAGGTGGTCAGGCCCTAAAAATTATTAAACTTGATATTGAGTCCCAAAGGTTACAGGGTTTCCAAGCGGAAAATGAGATGCTGTTTTTGCAACTTGCAGTGAGCTTAGCTGGAGCACTGCAGTAAGCCCAAGACAGAAATGTTGGCCAGGGAACATGGTGCAACATGTGTTGATGTGGCATACAACAGGAAGGTCAGGGTCATTTTTGCACCCAGAAAATAGGTGCTCTCCAAAGTGGTCACCCAGTCTGTGTTCCATCTCCCCAACATAGTGGGGAGCACAGGGGAGCAGCAAATACAGTAGGAGATAGAGTGAAGTACAGGTAAATTGGTGCTTCCTGGCAAGTGTGTCTGGGACCTTGGATAGTGAGGAGGGAAGTAAATGGGCAGGTGTTACAATTTCTGCGACTGCATGGGAAGATCCCATGGAGGTGTGGGGAGGCATTGGGAGTGAAGGAGGAGTGGATGAAGGTACCCCAGAAAGAACAATCCCTGTGGAAGGCTGACAAGGGAGAGGAGGGGAATGTGTTTGGTGGTGGCATTCCACCAGAGGTGGTAGAAATGGAGGCTGATAATCCTTTGGAATAGGATACTGGTGGGGTGGTAAGTGAGGACCAGGGGTCCCTACCGGTATTGTGGGAGGGAAAAGGGGAGAGGGCTGAAGTGCAGGAGATGGGTCAGAAAAGTGATGGGAGTTAAAAGGAGTAGTTTTTCAAAGTGAGAACAAGTTTGGCCAAGCAGACAAGGGTGGTGGTGGATGGAGACGGGTTAGGCCTTTTTCTTTAGAAACAGGAAGCAGCGAGAGCTCTGAGACCATCCTGATGGCAGATTGATTGTGTAAAGAGATTGCAAGTTCGTGATGAAGAGGAGCCTGGAAAAGATGTTCAGGTTAGGTGGATTGACCATGCTAAAAATTTCCCTGTAGTGTCCAAGGATGTACAGATTAGGTGGGTTAGCCACGGTAAAAGCCCCATGTGGGGTTTCAGGGATGGGGTGGGGGGTTGTTATTCAGGAGTTGGTGCAGACTCCATGGGCTGAATGGTCTCTGCAGAGATTCCATGATTCTAAATTAAAAACAACCAGAACTGCAGCCCCAATTATATTCCAGCTGAAATCTTCAAAACAGATAGCCTTTTGCTCACATCAATACTCTCCGCACCAAACTTAATGACTAGGAGAAGCTTGTTAACAATTCTTCAGAATGCCATCAACTTGTTCATCAAACTGCATGATCTAAGGCATGAATGATGAGGCACAGCAGCAACAGAAAAGTAGAGAGAGCAAACCCTGCACTTCTGAGCCCTCGTAAGACATCTTGCTCCATGTGCCAAAAGATGTCAAAGGCCAAGAATTGGGCTGTTGCATCATGAAAACTCATTGCAAAACCTGCACCCATAAGTAGACATTATCGATGAATTGGGAGACAATCAATGACGACAATAGGCTATTACACCAAGAAGAATTTCGCCAGGTCTTCTTCAAACTAGTCCAATGGAATCTCACACATCCAAGAGGGCATATAAAGCTTGATTTAATCTTCCATTCCAAACCAGAGCAGTACAATGTCAGCCTCACGTATTACATTCAATCCCTGGAATGAGATTTGAACCACCTATTAAGGCATGGAGTTGAAAGTACTACCAACTGAGCCATGACTGACACTGATGTGTAATATATTTGTTTTACACTTACTGAACTGGCACAATGAGCCAAGGTAAAGTATGGAAAGTATGAGGCTTTTTCCCAGGGTGGACGAGTCAATTACTAGGAGAGACAGGTTCAAGGTGTTGGGGTTTGAGGCGGGGTGTGGGTAGTTTAGAGGAGATGTTTGAGACAAGTTTTTCACACAAAGGGTGGTGAGTGCCTGGAACGCGCTGCCAGAAGAGGAGATGGAAGCAGACAATAGCAGCATTCAAAAAGCACCTGGACAAATACATGAATAGGAAGGGAATAGAGGGATACAGATCCTGCAAGTGAAGACAGTTTTAGTATGGAAGGGCAAAATGTATCAGTGCAGGGTTGGAGGGCCAAAAGGGCTGTTCCTGTGCTGCATTGTTCTTTGTTCTTATTAGATTTATTAGGAGTCTACGTGGACTGGAAGGTTTGAGTTATATGGGGAGGTTGGATAGGCGGGAACTGTTTCCTCTGGAGCATAGGAGACCGTGGGGTAACCTTATAGAGGTATATAAAATCATGAGAGGCATAGATAAGGTAGATAGTGGATAGCTTTTCTAAAACGAGAGGGCATAGGTTTAAGAGGATAGGGAGTGTCTGGAATATGCTGCCACAGGTAGTTGTCGAACCGAGTACAACTTCGTCATTTAAGAAACATTCAGACAGGTACATGGATGAGACAAGTTGGGAGGGGCAAGTTGGGAGGGGCAAGTTGGGAGGGGCAAGTTGGGAGGGGCAAGGACCAAATGCATGCATATGGAACTAGTTTAAATTGTGAAAACTGGGCAACTTGGGCCAAAGGGCCTGTTTCATGCTATAGACCTCTATGACTCTAAAGATCAGTTGTGTTCACATTTCCTACTGGCAAATGTGCCCGAAATCAAGGTTTGCATTATCTACAAAGTCATGCTGTAAATTTATATAAATTACAGAAACACTTAATGCCATAATTTAGCTTACTCCAGTCACCCACAAACTTGACACAGACAAATGTGGGAGGGTTTGTCACAGAATCATTGTATCATTCTATGATTCTATGACAAACCCTCCCACTTCCTAATCAGATTTTATGTATTGAGTTAAGAACACAGGATAATCTTTTAATCTGATCCAAACTGAGTTTTTTTAATCCTTCTAATGCAGTTAATTGGCAATGATTCATCTGTTCAGCTAGATGGGAATAGCCTCTGGGCCTCAAAGCTCATCTTGAAATTTGAAGTTAAATTAGGTTTTAGGAGATAGTGGGAAGCACAAATTGAATTGAGCAACATTATGATCAGAGCAAATCAGTTCATTTGATTGTGGCACTGGCCAGAGAATGCAGAAACAGGTTCTAAACAATTGTGTTTCCTGGCAATTACGAGAACGAGAAACAACCAAAGTTGTTAATTTTAATCCATGACCTTTCCACTTGCGCATGGTTTATCTGAAACACGCTTTTAAGCTTGACCAAATTTTTCACGTTTCAAAAAAGCAGCTCCATTTCACTTTTACAGTAGCTAGTTTTATTATATTACTGGGTATTTTAGTTAGCATGACATGATCAAGCTTCTCTTAGTTCCTTGACCGATGCAAGGTGGTCACCATTCAATGACACGTTCAGCGTTCCATGCTTTGGTGTGTCTACCTTCTATTGTTTTCCTGAAGATTGGGAGTGCTTTATATTCATTTTCTTCATGATACCATATAATAGAAATAACTGACTTGCCAGGGGTGCAGTCATAGCAGCCCCAGTTTAGTCACATGCACTATTGTTAATCTATTTAGTTGACATTTAGTCACTAAGAAGGAAAACACAACCATTGACAACAGAGACACAACAAGGTTAAGGCACACATTCATAATCCATGCAAAGAAGAAAGCTTGCATTTACT